TTAGCACGTCTGTATTTTCTCCTTGCAATTTAGTGATAAAAAGCACAGTGAATGTACCTTTTCACTTTTTGAAGTACACATAACACTCGGATTTAAATCCGAGGTTTTCGCATTTATTTTTTCATGGGAAGGAAAAATCACCTGTGAAATATCACGAGAAAATAAAACAATATATAGAACGAAGGAAAGTAAAGAAGAGGAGAACGAAAGAAAAAATCCATCACACATATTGAATAGTATAACATGAATAACAATAGAATAACAGAAGAGAGAAGATAACATGCTACTACCTGACATTTGGTAACATATGATATTTGACATTGTACCTTATAGTTAGACAAGCGTTTTATCTTTCTACGGAATGCAATGAAAAATTTATCCTGCAAACCGGGCGCAGGAGAGTTCTTTGCCTTGCAAAGCAGGATAGCTGTGTGATAATGTCCTGCAGGATACAGAGTAGGACGAAAAAGATGTCCTATAACATTCGCTGATCCGAATTACATCAGATGAAACATAAAAAAAAAATAATTTTCTTTAGTAGGTCTCATTATTGTGAGAACTGTATTTCAATAATTGAATGTGGGATATAGAATAGTGTATTTTTTATTTAATTTTAATTTATTATTAGTTAATAGAAAGATGGGAAAGTTAAGTTTTATGATTTTTTATTGATTTCTGCTGACGTGATCCGAATTACATCAAATGATATAATTCCGATCATTTTCTCGATACAATTGGTATTTTCGTAAAAACTGTATAAAAAAATGAACTTTTTTTAGATTTTAACATAGACTTGTAGAAAACACTTTGGGCTATCTATTAATGAAAACATCTTTTTTGTTCGATATAAAATAGTTGAGTAATGGCTGAGATAAATCGATTTCTTTTAGAAGTTATCTGAATTACACCAGCTGAGTATACATGAGTTTAAGAGTTTGAATTTCAGACGGCTACAAAATAGCATAAAGTTATTAATTATGATAGAGTACTCTTCGATCGAGCAATACTCTGCATGAATCAAAAGCAACAAAAATAAAACAAAACGTGTGGTACTCATTCTTTATGCTGAAAAATGAAATAAACCTACGAATTGTTATCTTATTGAATGATGCACAGAAAGATGATATAAAGAAATTTTCATAAAAAAAAAATTGTCATTTCGTCTATTTTTGTGCAAAAAATAACACATTGGAGAGCCTCTTGACATTACTTATATTTGAAAATCTTGTTCTATGATGATGTATTTAACAGGTGTAATCAACATACGTTAATTATTACTAACATCAGCGGGACCTTCTATAGTAATAATATGTTGTCATGAATTTATAAATAGAATTCTCTATAATCGATCAAAATTTTCGAAAGTTTATAAAATAATACCTGATAGTGAGTTCAAAGATGTCTTTATATCTCTTGATAGTATTTTCAGAAAGGACCAATAATTTGGATATGAACATAACTGTTCACGGGCTTTTGTTTATTTATTTGATCAATTTCCTCATGAACCTTCTCTTGGAATCAATCTTTAATGATTGATTATGAATTGACGAAAGACAGAACTAAAAAAAAATATAAAAATAAAATATAGACATAAATATTTTTAGTTTTTTAAAGCTGTCTTTTTCTCTATAGCATGCCTTGATTCTTTTTGTTTTTTCCTTTCATAAATTTATATTATTTTCGTATATCAACAACGATTTTCATCACCATCTATCGTCTATCTCTTACTATTCGCTATTGTCTTCATATCATCAATAATGCTCTGGTAATTCATTAGAAAAAATTTTTCCTTCATTTTTGCTAAACAAAAATGGTCAAAACACATATTGGACAGTGGTTATATACGTTTCCTTGGTCTCAAATTGTTAGTGGTTTTTGGCAAAAACTTCCAAATCCTTATACGTATGAAGTTTTTATTAAGCTGATTTGATTCATTTGAAAATAATCTATTTTATATATTAGAGATCATGTTTCATCCGAAGATACATATTATCGAACAGTAACTGAAGATCAAAAATTAATATCAAAATGATTATTAGCTAAAATAAATAAACTTCCACGTTGGGGTGAACGCATATTTTATTGTGGTTCAGGTTCAACTATAGAATTTATTATTGAAGAATCCGTATGTGATTTAAAACAAAAAACATTTACAACAAATACAGTAAATATTAACCTTAAATCATTAATGGTAAATAATTCAATTTTTTTTTCTTTAATGATTTTAAAAATTTTTATTTTCTAGACTGTAGAAGAAACATGTGTATATCGACCAGATAAAAATGATGAATCAAGAATAATATGTGAAAAAAAAGTTGTTGCACAAGGAGAATTATTTAGTTTTAAAACACAATTAACAATATTTGCTATACAACGTTATAAAAAAAAATCAAGAATATGCAAGTCTTGGATTAAAATTTATACTTCATAAATTATATTTACTACAATTACCACCACCACCTTGTTACTGGTATTAAAACACCAGATACCCGAACATTTTCAAGAAAATTAAGTGATAAAGCAAAACATTTATTAAAATCATCAAATAATGATACACTTTAGTGTTAATATGATTTTTTTTCTTGTTTTCTTTTGTTTATATTACCCACAAAAATTCAAGCTGTTATTGTTATAATTGTTTTCTTTTTTACACTAGCATTGAGCATTGTTTTTTTT